TTGAGAATATTTTTTTGTTATGGACTGTAAATAATTCTTTATGTTTTTATTGAAAGCATAAAGAACGACGTTACTTCATACAATTTTACTAAACATAGGTTAACAGCTACACTAGTCGCCTCGCATTGCGTTAAGAACTCGAGATCCTAGATTCGAGTCCCGGGGAATAGAAGAACGATCAACTACTGGCCTGTAATTAGAATCGATGAATGAACAAACGAACACACCTCGTTCGCCTATGACCTATTTGGATGTCCACTTGTTTTGTGTGAGGCGGAATATAAGGTATATCTAATTGTCTGGAAAAATTATAACAGGTATAATTTGACACGAAACGCGTCGCCGAATTGAACAATTATCTCGATGTGCTGTAGAAACCAGTGTATTATTATCCCTAATAAACAAGACAGCCAAAGACGGCGTCGTCATTAGTATAATTCGGGTACCCTCGGGTCATTTATGTCGCCACTTTTTTTACTAAGAAGTATAGACCTTTTTCAATAAATAGATCTTATAGTAGTTTAAAATCTAGCTGTTTTAATATACACTATAATATTCCCCACAGCTGAGACTAGAATTTATAAAAGAGTACAAAATAATGTAAAAAAATATCTGGGTATCAAAATATAGGTAACTAAGTACACTTATGATCAACACAGTTAAAAACAAAATATTACCAATTCATGCACCCTTGAGTTTCCGCCTTAGTCCAAAACATGACGCTCGGCGATTTCTGAGCGTTCCTCGTATGTCGTATTTTCAGGAAATCGCGGTGCACAGGGAACACACATCAACGAATACATTTCTTCACCAACCACCGTTATTAACGTAGCACTTTAAGTTCGTCTTTGACACGAGTTAACTTTATAAATTAATTTACGCGTCGAATATACGCCGGCCATTGTTCAGAATAAATGGTTTAATTTTACCAATAGACATCGTGAAATACTTTATAAACTCAACACCACTCAATTATAGAAATTCACATCCTCGTCGCCAGTGAAACATCAATCAAACGCGGAATCCAAACACCGACTATTTATTGAATATAACTTACAGCTACCTACAAATTTACACTAAATACGAAGTTAAGCGTTATTGCTTTGCGGCGCGAGGTTTTTCAGTAAATAATTTTAGACGGAATATTTTTCATATAGTTATATTTGCAGAAACCTATTCGGTGCAAGCGAATGTGCAACTGCCTATGTCTAACTCCAAGTGAGTATTACAATATGTATTAAATTTGGGAATATCTGATACTTTGTTTTGCTCAAGATCCTTATAGGTTGTGAGTAGAAACAATTATGAAATATAGTGACTAATTGCGATTTGCAAGTAGGCACAAAATAACTAAACATTACTACATAACACTAACATTACTATTGTAGAAGTACTAACGTACCTTTGAAAGATAATATCATATGTAAAATTAGGTTTGGGACAGTAAAATGTTTAGTATATAGATCGCCGTTAGATATTAAACACACGAACCCTAGGAACTAGTCGTCATAAGTTTACGTTCCGAATTATTAGTGATTTTATTGATTACTTACATGATGTATTGAACTATTGAGAAATATTTATAATACAACATTATTCTATTACTATCTGGTTTTCTTTTGCCATATGAAGGTATTTCGACCAAATTTGTTTACCATATAAACTGTTCTTGTAATCTTACAAAATACATACACTGGTCACTGACATGATTTTTAGATTATTTAAAGATGAATAATTCTTTTATACCTATCTTACCACCGTTTCAGCATATTGACGATATCCCTCTAAGATGAATAATTTTCGCCATTTTTTTCACATTTTGTTTGAACCAGGCTGATGTTTTATAGCAGAAAACCTTCCTCGATAAATGGTCCAATCAGCAAAAAGAAGAAGAAGCAATTCGACTTAGTTGTTACTGACAAAAGCGCGTTTAAACAAACAATAAAATTTTGTAGGTACATATTGAAAAGCGTCAACGTATATTTAGAGAAACACCGAGGCCTATGCTAAGATATTAGTTAAAATATAGCTAAGACGATGATCATAAAACCCATTAATTTATAGTAAGTTGCGCATGACATTAGGAAAAAAACAGATATACGTTTTATTTATCATCTTGAAGGGCCTATGTTATAAAGCACAAATATATCAAAAATTCCTAAACCCCAATATAAAAAATCCCATTAAACTACGAGCTCACAGCTATCAAAACCCTTTGTGAATAGAACTCCACGCCCGATTTAAAATCAATAATGCCCTGAAAGAGCTCACTAGCGATCGCAGTGAGAGATCGATCAATGATCTATAGATCTTTTGTTGAGCGAAATCGATCTAGATGTTGATTAAGTCCGCGAATGGAAATCGAAGTGCATTTATTGTCACGACCTAAACGTGTGTGATTGGTTATTTTTTTGGGTTTAAATTTTGAAAGAGATTTCGTGCTGTGTTAGGATCTATAATAATTATATAATAGTTGCCGTAGATACTTTAATTTTTAAATAATCACTAGCCCTTTTTTAAAGGTGGGGGAAGACAGACAAACTGTATTTCACCTAATGGAAATACACCAGTCAAATAAGATCTTTAATTAGTGTGACTAGATTGACTAAGATGATATTAAATCCATATCCAGACGAAGGCCAACGAGGTATTTAATTAAAATTAAACAGCCTTTTTAATTAAAAACTTGGGGGATTTGGTAGGGAACAATAAATATATAGATTAGATCCAGTATAATTAATTTCCTAATTAGCTCCCTCGAAAGCGCCCTACAGTTTAACGGGCTGGCATGACAAGATATTGTCAGATATTATGGTCCGAGATGATTGTCCAGAGCTCCTCGAAAGCGCCGTTACAGACTGGCGGCGTATCAGTGTCACAGTCACATGTCTGCACTAATTCGATTTACCACGCTTACTTTTGCCCGACGTGGGTTTTTTTCGGGCCTTCCCCCAATAGTGAAATAGACGTTTTCAAAGGTTGCCTTCGGAGGAATAATATCAAACGTTACAGACATTAGACAGTCATGTCTGCACACTTCTACCAGTGAAATAGACCCAGGCCCCGTAAAGAATATGGGATGTAAGTAAAACACTTTAACGGTTTAAAACACGAATATATATTTCGGATTAGTAAAAATTAATTTCGGATGCTTTGCAGCAGCCGTGGTCACGGGCCGAGGTAAGAAATAGTTTTCAAATTAAGTTTAACTAATATATGTTGCGTTTTAAACCATTAAAGTGTTTCGTTTAAATCTGCACTACTCGCGTAAACTCTAGACAGTATTTAATATGGAATTTATTTATACCAGCTCTCCTGTAACATACATCACATGTGCGCGATGCTATCAGTTATCAGTCAGGCCAGCATACGATATTTTATCTAACGTAAAATGTATTGGTCCGACGCACAGATAACGTGCAGTAATTAATATTGGATAATTAACGATGTCGTACTGTATTAGAAGGCATGATTGATTTGCCGTCTGGTTACTGATTACCTGTATTGATTGTCAATGTGGATTATTAGGGGTATATGGGCGATGAGAATGGGAACAAATAATAATTACTTTCCTTATAAGGCATAAGGTTTTTTATTTGATAAAATAGTCCATGACTATATAATAAACATCTCTTAAAGAACAACGCACTATTTCTTATCAGCCGTTGAGCCTCAGCTGGATGCCTCGCCCAAAGAGTTCCACTACGGCGGGTTGCTTGCGAATCCGTATTTTCTAGCCGCCTTAATAAATTCGAACCAGTTCCTGACATACCAGGTAATACCTGTGGATAATGGGGCGAACACAGGTCTGTGTCCGTTTCATTAATTGTTCTACTTTATTTATAGGTAAGTACTTAGATTTGCGGGAGCTTGCCGGTACTCGAACTCAGTTCCTCTATTTTTAGAGTAGTTTATTTAGAAATTATACTTAAAAACATTTTATTGCTATAAAAATATTTATCGGTAACTCTCCATCATCATTCAAGGCGATGAAAAATAAATGTTGACCGATTTGCGTAACAATAAATAAAAAAATTACACCACATTTATTTATGTATTTTTGTAGTTTATATAATATGATCTCTGGTTGAAGCGTATTTTTTTGTATCTCTTTCTTATACTAATTAGATAATTACGAATACATTTATTTAAACAATTTTATTATTCTTATTAAAAAATATTCGCTGTAAATAAAACATTCTTATTTGTCATTGCAGGATTCGCATTATTTTGTAAACTGTCTAAAATATTATACATAATTGTTGTTTTGATCTGCCTGCCATCTAGAGAACTAAGGCATATACTTCTATTTAAAATAGGCAAGTCACTTGTTCTTGCTAAAATACATAAATAGTTCTTACATAACAACATAGAGGGCTCTTCTTTCCAATACATTTATACGAGAATTAAGTTATGATTAGCGCCATCTATTAGTCAATAAGCAAGCACATTAACTATCAATTTTTCTTGACATTTATTACTTCAAACGATACGAGAGAGCAGTTTTCAAAACTACTTTGCAAAATAAAAAGGAAACGGTAATTTTAATTACAAACAGTTGAACGTTTTATTACAATAATACCATGATTGTTCATATTATAGAACCAATTTTAAGCGTAGCGTTTTAGCTTCATACTTAGACCAAATCAATTTGATCCGTTTTTAATAATAAAATGTTGATAGCATTGAATTATTGTTGATTATTTATAAAACCTAACAATTATACTAAATATACCAAGACAAAATTTTTTGCTAGCATTGGTATAATAAAATGGGTATAATCAAAACTTACTTACCTACTTCTTAATATCATATGTGAAAGTCAAGCAAAACAGTTTATGCATAGAGATGCTTAAAGTTTCCATATAGGCAATAATAATTATAGTGAAAACTTAAAAAGTGAAGTTCAATGCCATTCACTCTCGCTACAGGCTGCGAGCATATTTGCCTCTTATTAAAAGCACATAAGCCCCATTATACCATGCGTGCTATGCTCTAAAATGGTTACTATAATCGAACAGCCTCTGCACCGGTACTGTGACCCACTGAAGACGAGCCTCACCTCAGTCACCGCCGTCTTACAGCCAAGCGCGAACGCAATGTTTTTCGAAAGTTTTATTCTCAACTTGTTCATACTCCTCGTTCTAATATTCGCCTTAATTTTCGACTATGTCACTAAGTTCTTCAGCTATTGGTACATACGACACGTGCCCTACAAACAAGCTATTCCATTTTTCGGCAGCGACTATCATCGAGTCACCGGCTTGAGAAGCACGACCGACGAAGTCAATCAACTCTACAACCAATACCCCGAAGACAAATTCGTGGGCTGTATCAAGAGCAGGATCCCAGATTTGATTGTGAAGGATCCAGATGCAGCAAGGAAAATTCTATCAACGGATTTCTCAAATTTCCATTGCCGAGGCCTCGGGCTGGACAAATCCAGGGATGTTTGTTTACGAAACAATTTGTTCTATTCCGAGGGTGAAAAGTGGACTCTATTGCGCGGGAGGTTAGAAGCACTTTTGAATAACATGGATGTACAGATCGAAGACGGCTTACATGACTGTTTGTCCGGAATCAACGGAGATACGAACGTTCAACAGTTATTGTCGGAGTTATTGGATATTGTTTTTAAAGATTTACTTATTGGTAATAATGCTGAAGGATCAATTATAACATGTTTGCGAAAAGAATCGCAACAACGAACGTACCAAGACAAATTAAAAGGTTATTTGAAAAATATTTTTCCATCTGTCTACATTTTGTTAAAGCTGAGCTCTACGAAGCTGTATGAGAAATATCAGCATTTAATGAAAGATACGAAATTATATAGCGAAATTAAGAAGGCAGAAAAGATTACGCCACAAGATGGTAAAGTCAGAATTAAAGATACAGATGAGAACTATACATTTTCAATTCTATCGTTATTTATGAGAGAAGGTTATTTGCCATGCCTCAAGATATTAACATCCCTGCTGTTTGAATTATCGAAACATCCAGAAGTACAAGAATCAGTTAGGAAGGATAGCCAACAACTCGATCTAGCTATTAAGGAAACTTTGAGACTACATCCAGCGTATTCAGTAATTTCTCGTAAGTGTGTTAAAATGTACACATTTGCCAAACACGATTTTCTCGTTGACAAAGGAGTGACTATTACTGTACCCGTGGAAGAATTGCATAAAGATGAACAGCATTTTAGTGAAGCACAGTCCTTTAAGCCATCTAGATTTGAAAACGAAACACCAGCGTTTGTGCCATTTGGTTTAGGACCTAGAAAATGCATTGGTAAGTACAAATGTACATATTTGCAGAACCTAAATATGACTTTGAATAAGATAACTATTAATCACTGACCTACCGATGCTTTATATCACTAATATAAGGGTTCCGATGGGTCGGATTTTGATTTCAATAAGATAAGTGCCTAAAAAAGTTACAGGTTAAAATTATTGTAATATGTACCACTCACGCTGATTACACATTTTTCTATACATATATTGCTAATAATTACAATATAATTGTATAGTTAGCAAGACAGATTTAATTGTATTATTATCTCAATTTGTTGTAAATGCCATCTTAATCTACTGGGATATTAGTTGCGTAAACGGAAATATTGTTAAATGGAATCATAAAAAACAGTGATGACTATTATAAAGATAAATTTTCACCGGCCCAAATTTTGAAATTAGTTACTCATAATGAAGCAACAATGCTAAGTAACAGTAAAGTAAGCTCTAGAGCAACAGCACGGAAAGCTGACGATGCCGATTCAAGTCCTGCCCGAGTCGAACATTTTTTCAATTTATTTTCGATTTTTAAATTATATAGTGCCTTCATGTGCAATAACATGTGAAAAATATTAATGTTTTCAAACAGTAAAATTGACAAATGTATCGATGTATTATTTTTATTTTATATGTGGTTTGTTGTATTACTTGTTTAGCCCATTTTATATAAACCACCAATCTTTAGCTTTAGGACAACATTTGATTTGGTTTTATTAAGACTTTTTTTATATTTAAGCAAAAGTCTAAGTTTAAATAAACGAAGAATTTGAATTCAGTATTAAAATAAATGATAACTGTGTTCTTTCAGGTGAAGACTTAGCAATGAGAATAATTCATACAGTATCAAGTAAAATTGTAAAAAGCTTCGCTTTGGAAAAATGTACGAGAACGCCTGAAAAGCTCAAAACGGTGGACCACGATTTTATTCGGATCATAGAAAATGACGTTTGGCTGAAATTTAAACCTATATGATGTTTTTGTGGAAAACGTGCTCATTTTTCTCTTAATTTTTCTAGGCAGATCTGTTTAGTGGCTGTGAACAGATAAATTTAAAACCCATTTTTTTTATATGGATATATAATAAGCATATCATTGTTTTTCGGGCTGTTCGGCCGACGGAAGCGAAGAAGTCTTCTGTCGAGGTAATAGCCTGATGATGGCGTCCACTCGTGATGGCAAAACGTCAAGAGCCTCTTCTTGCTCACGTCGGCCAAACAGCCCGAAAAACAATGATATGCTGTACGATGCCCGTGAAAGCCTCATACAATTTGTGATTCATTTCATATTTTTATAATAAATCATTGCGAGATTTTTTGGTTTAATTTCACATCCATTTAGCTTGAATGACATCCAACGAATTAATAATTATTACACGTCGACGAGAGTTCTCAATAACTGTGCCCAAAATCCAAATATTCTGTCTATAAATAATGATTTGTTATCAATTAGCGGCTAATTATCTGATGAACATTTTGGTAAATTGGTTTTATTGTAATTACTAATTATTGCAACTATTAGGCGGAATTGAATCTGCTTTTATTGTAAAATAAGTTAAATTGAGTTAATAATATGTATAGTATTATATACGTTTTTAATTTAAAACTTATCATATAATGAGACTTAATGCCATGGACTTTCAACTAATATATACTAGCTTAAATTAAAGTGTCGATTAGGATTAAAGTTTTTTTAATTAAAAAAATTTTCCCTTTTTTTTTTTTTTTACATAAAGTTTACTTTCCATTTATTACGTTAACGTTTTAAACCGTGAAAGTGTTTTATTTATTAAAATGTGAACCAGTCACGTAAACTACAAACAGTGTATATATAGGAATATCGAAATTCGTTTGAATTACAAACCGCCATTCAAATAAGCTGTAGTCTCTATGCCTACCAGCACAAATGCACAACTTTTCTTTAAATATTTTTCTCCATGAAATAAAGTGAAAGCTACAAATTGATTGGTCTCATACCGGTTGCGATTGTAAGAAAAAATACAATAGCACTGGCGACATAATAACATACATTTATGTGACTTACCGTTTGTACGTTTCATGAGAACTATGTTTCTTGTATTGCCATAATAATTAACCATTCATTTGAATACATTAACATCATGCATATTATTAATTATTTATTTATTATACTACCATACTATTTGGATGGACGATTTGGAGATATAAAGAAATTACAAGTAATTCGCTATTTAAAAAAAAATATAGTAAGTAAAACACTTTAACGGTTTAAAACGCGATATATTAGTTAAACTTATTTGGAATGATTTTTAACTTCGGCCCGACGTTTCGGATGCTTATTCGCGTAAACTACAGACAGTATTTAATTCAGTATATTATTTATGTTTCTTAACTCGGTGCTTATTAAAAGTATATGTGTATATAAATTATTTGCTTCTTCTCCAAAGAGATATTATTGTACCGAAATAAAAATTACAATAAATTACATTACGTTGTACATAAAAACTAGAAATGCGAATTGGCATTTGGTAGAGCAATGAAAGTCGCGAATTTAATCAAACGTTTTATGATCACGCCGTTTTATGGCCCGTTGTAAAGGTATGTAGATGAATGAATGACAAAATATCGTAGCGGGTTTACGAGTTTCGAGAAAAGCTAAGGGAAAGCACATCTGCGAGTATTCATATTAACATGAAAATATGATATACATTTTTAATTGATGGTGTAAATGCACAATGCCCACATCGGGCATTTGTGACGTGGGGAGTATGGGAAATCGCACTACGCCTCTGTATTTGGCCTGGCAGTACCAATTTTATTGGAAGACAGACACGAGAAGTGAACTACCCGGGAAGTGAAATACCCCAGCCTATAACATCTAAGCAGACCTATTTTGGCTTTGAACGCGGAAATAAGACTGAAACCTAAACCTGTTAAACTTCACGACTTTATCATTTGTGGACATGGTGGTTAGTCACCAAACCCGGACGTAATTTCCATATTCCCATTCAACCCATACAATCCAGACGAAGTCCAACATGTTTCAGAAAAAACACGTTTGTATGACACCAAAGCTCCCAGCACTAATACCCATTTCAGACAAGGCGATTAGGAATGATCTTGGAGGAGCGTAGTAAGTTATTAGACCCATTCTCTATTCGTTTCTAAGCCATCTCTTCTCATCAGCATCTTCAGCATCACTTGCTCGCAAAAGTTGGCGACAGCTTTCTTGGTATCCTCCCTGCGAAGCAAAAATATAAATCCAGTAAATGTATATATAAGTACAAAAGCAGCTCTTAGCATGTCTAGTGTTATGCACAATCAAAATGTGATGGCAAAATTGGACTTCAAAACCTGGTTATATACTCTGAGTACACAGTATTTATATATTTGTGCAAACTTTTAACGAAATCATACTCATAGTAGGTCGTTCGCTGCAAATAAGTGTTCTGTGCTTCAAATGAAAGCGTTTGTCAAACGAATGAAACGGTCCGCCGTCACGTTTCTCTCGGTCAAGGTTAGGTTCCGCAAGTTTTTGACCGCTCCGTAACAAAATAGTTTCTCTTGTTGAATATCACAAACGACTAGCTGTGTCAGCGTCTTTGTCCGCGTAGAATAGTTATTTTTGGGCACCCAAATTGATTTTTGCGAACCTCCTCTTCAATTTTAAAAATTAAGGCTGTTACCCGTAACATCGGTCGTTGCTCACGTCCCATCGTTCTTACAAGTTAATCTTAAAAGGTAGATAAGTGTCGTGTATATTTTATTTAGATCATTTAAAGAGGAATCATTCTTCCCTACATTCTTTTGGGGTGTCTTAAACCATTTTCCGTCCTCGATAAACGCTCTCACCAACACAAAAATAAGTAGTTTTCTGAGACAAGTGCGTTCAAACAAAGTACAAACACACTCCTTTAAATAAGCAGCCGTGGTCACGGGGAGACTGCTGCACAGCATCCGTAACGTCGGGTCGAAGTTAAAAATCAGTTCCAAATAAGTTTAACTAATATATCGCGTTTTAAACCGTTAAAGTGTTTTATTATAACAGTATTTAAACACACTCCTCTTAAATTATATTAGTATAGAGTCATAGAAACGACAAAATATTTAACGGTTTCACTAGATTAGAGACAAATGTTTTATAAATTGCGACGAAATGCAGTACAAACTCGCTAGATTGTTCACGACCGTACGGACAACCTTTACAGTGACATAGACATTGTATATTAAGGATAGAGCAATTATACAAATTATGAACAATGCCGTCTTAGAAACGTACAGAATAACGTCTGAGTTAAATCGCTACAATTAAGATGCATTTGAATGAAGCACTCTCGTGTTTATCGTCCAAGTGATAAGCGAAGCGGGACGTTCATATCCTATGTTAAGCCTTAAACGATATAGATTATGGCACTTTTTACTTTAAAATTAAAGTAAAATTTGTATTTCCTTTAATTATATATCACGTTTTAAAGACATATAGTGTTGAGTTTTGATTTAAGTAGGATTTAGTCTTATTTAAAAATTAAATTTATCCACGTCCCGACTTTGTTTACCAACTGGAGATGGAGGGCGCCATCTGCTTCCTCCTCGTTGGTAATTGCTCCAAATAGGATAATAAAGAGGATTTTTAAACATGCTTAAACATCTAATACAAAGCCTTAGATATTATACTTCAATTCTCTACTTAGTATCATAATAAAGACATCGCTTTGAACTCTTTTTGCTGAATGATGTACCGTAGTAGATTTCAGACATTATAATTTTAACTCAAATCTGACACCCCATTTTAAGTTCCCCCAAAACATTCACATACAAATTCTAACTAGTGTTACATTAAATTTGTTAGAGTATTACTAAATCGCCATCGCTTATAATTTAACACCCTTATTAATCTTAGTTCTCATTCTGGGACGATATGAGTTCAAACGTTTAGACCCTTGCGTTAGACGTATCGTCGTATTATACTTACTTTGCGATGTATGAGTGACAATTTATCCACTTTGAAGGAAATGGTACTAAAAAGTTATAGAGAATGTTTCGTGCGGATATTTTTGGTGTAATTCGCCATTGTTCTTTATATATGTACTTATTACTATATATTTTTTAAGCCTAATTCGATTTATAACGATAATTAGACCGATTATTAATTCATATCGTGCAATAAAATGTTAAAAATGTTATTCGTTCAAGCGTAATTTTGTAATTTCAACTTCGATGATTCTGAAGGTTTGCAGCTTAAGACATTGAACCTTTATACGCAAGCGTTTGACTGGGTTAAAGCAAGAGCAGGAAACGCTGGGGATACCTACCTGTTCAAATCCTGCCCGAGTCGTATTTTTTTTTTCAATTTTTAATTTTTACTTTGTATTTTCAGTTCTTAATTTTCCTTTTTTAATTCTTATCGAATTAGTCTAAAAAGTACTTTATACGAAAAATGTATGCGAACTAAATATAATAATTATAGAAATATTTGTTTAATATTTTTATTAAGATCTGTACAAAAATTATAAAACATAACGTTTAATATCTATTTAAAACTAATCAACTTTTACTATAACAAACAATAACATCATTATAAAAGAAGTTAGCAATAACTAGAATTTAGAACCTTATCTAATAAACTGAACTTTGACTTGGCAGTCTTCAAGAAAATTGTTTCAGTGTTTACCATGGTGGAAGCCCCAATGCTTATGGCCTTCATGGCCACCCTTCTTTCCATGGTCGTGATGATCGTGATGATGCTCCTCGTGACCGTGATGACCCTTATGACCGTGGTGATCAGCGTCATGGTGATGCTTGTCATGGTGACCCTTTTTACCGTGGTGGCCCTCGTGGTGGCCATGTTCGTGATGACCTCCCTTCTTATGCCCTCCGTCGTGTTTCTCATGATGGCCATGATGCTTACCATGCTTATGATGCTTGCCTTCATCGTGGTGGTCATCATAAAAGTGATGATCCTTGTGGAACGTGTCCTTATGGTATTTCTTGTGGTATCCATCAGTCTTCTCACCCTTGTCATGATGTTTATGATGACCGTGCTTATCACCCTTATGATGATGACCATGCTCATGATGATGGCCGTGATGATCGTGTTCATCCCAATGTTTCTTGTGACCGCCGCCATGTTCGTGGTGATGACCGGCGTGATGATGTTTGCCGTGATCACCGTGGTCACCCTTGTGGTGGTGGTGGTGTCCTTTGTGGCCCTTGTGTCCCTTCTCACCGTGGTCGTGATGATGATGGCCGTGATGTTCCTTGCCACCTCCTTCTTCGTGATGATGCCCCTTACCACTGGCGGCCGCTACGAGGTCCTTAGCACCATCATCAATTTCTCTGGCGTATACTGCAACCAGACAGACCAAACTAAGAGCTACAAGCACCTTCATGTTGAAGGCTGTACCTAGTATGTCTTAGTCTATTAAATCAAGTCTTTTATAGTTGATCGATTAAGATGAAGAAAGCATTTGCCAATTTCATTCCCAATGCCAGACGAATCTTTCATTGTTCAAGTTTCAGTTGAAAAAAGGTGACAAACTACAATGTTGTACACAGTAAAAACGTCGAACTCAGATTTAAGGAAGAGCGTTGTATTATTTATTATAAATTTAGCTGTTTTCGGTATTATTACTTACATGACATTGAACGTGTATATTTTGTTAAACTAATCTGGGTTTAGATTATCAATAAAACCTAAACACGTTATAAATAATATATTATATTATGTACGTCTTGAAATAATTGCTTTCTCGTTAAAAAAATCGCTCAAACCTTGTACCTAACGTATTAACGATTGTTAAAAATCCTATAGAAGTCTACTATAATATGTATCCTTAATTAATTAAGAAATTATTTTTCTAAACATTTGTTACATAAAATGTTATATCTAAGTAGCCACTGTCCTGAGTTGACCCGAGTAGTACGCATTTAAATAAAACTTATAACGGTTCAAAACGTAAAATACATTTGCCAATCAGACGATTTAATTAACTTTTTAGTTTAACGTTAGGGACATTTCATCCGTGACCACGGTTGCTGCAAGGCATCTGAAAAATTAGGCCGTAGTTAAAACAAACTTCAAACAGTTTACTTAATTATTTCGTGTTTTAAACCGTTGAACGTGTTTTATTTAAATAGTATGTACATCTGATAACAAGTGCCTTCCAGCCGGTAACAACTTTGTACATCTGAATATTAAGCCGTTCAAGAATAGCCGAATAATAAAGCTTTATAAAAAAATGCTAACACAAACGAAAGCCAAGTCTATTTTTCTTTAGGAAATTAATACATTAGCTAGAATGTAATATGATGCCAATTAAATGAATACCCCTCCTATGTCAACATTGATATCGAATAAACTTATACCAAGAAATAATTATAACGTAAAATTATTACTTGTTCAATATAAATATGAACCAACCAACCAACTAGCTTTGTCAGCGAATTCGTCCGCGTAGACTAGTTATTTGGATATCCATTGTTTTTAACCTCCTCTTCACCTTTATATTATAAAATAAGTTGTTATATTATAGTAATTTAAGTAAAAAGTTTCGTAACTAAAAATGGAAAATAGAACTATAACGTAACATTAGAAAGAAAACAATAAAAATGTAAATTAAAATCTTTTGTGTAATTGAAGTATAAAATGTAAGTTTTTTTATTTAAAAATTAAGCATTAAAACTGGTATAGAAACTCAAGTAAAATAATCTTAAGTATCTATTTTGTGACATTATTATGTATTATATATATTCTTAATAAATGTGTATGTATAAAAGATACCTAATGAACGAAATGTCAAACTGTATCGCTTGTGTTAGCTCGGTGTCGGAACATGGGGCCCAATTAGTATTAGCTGAGTGGACTCCCTTTTGAGAGGCAACTGTACTATTTAATTTTAACTGTAATTTAGTCATAAAACAATATATATGTAATTATAAACATTATAATTCTATAGTATGGTTGTAATTTTAGAATGTATATTATTGTAAATTTATGTGTTTGATTTTTCTGAATAAACGTATTTCTATTCTATTCTATTCTTTACAAATTTAAGCTGTTTCTCAAGACGGCGGCCACTTCCCGTCGTTCTTGCGAGTTCATCTTAGAAAATAGACATATACCGTCGCGGACATTTTGACATAGCCTCGATAAATGCTCTAATCAACACTAAAAGAATTTTTCAATTTGAACCAGTAGTTCCTGAAATTAGCGCGTTCAAAAATACAAACAAACGAACTCTCCAGCTTTATAATATATTTGTTCCGGACAGCTCGCGTTAGGTTTAAAGCATAGGAATATTATTGAGAACTAGCATATAAATAAATAAATAAATATTCTTTGACTTTAGGTAAAATATGTTAGATGTATAAGAACATGTGCATGGCGTCCTTTGTGTGTATAAAAACGTTAACAAAACTTTGGGTCATAAATTGTAATACTAGAAAGGCCACTTGTATTGTATCCACTTTGTAAAGGGATAGTTTATTGGTTACAGACGTATTGTCTTAAGCGTTAACAAATGTGAGAGATTGCCATGCCATTAGTTTAAGTAAGTTCTTTAAAATAATAAAGTGTTTGCTTTCCACGAACCCGACGCCCCGCTACGGCCCATTCCGCACTCAATACCTGCATCCCATTTCTCTCTTGTGACTGAAATGATGTTACCATAAAAGAGAGCTCTGGGAGCGGGTCAAACTAGTTCACTTCTAACATCGACACGGCACGCATCGCGAGTACTTTGCCCACAGACGCCGCTCCTCTCACGGTTCGCGTCGCAAGTACTTCGCAATGTATTGATAGATAGTTAACGCGGCCGTTGTAGACTTTTCATTTCCATACTTTGTGCGCACGATAAAGGCGCGTAGCAGTAGCGTGGCAATCGGATGTCGTGGCATAGCGACATATTCGTTAGCGGCAACGTACTGGTAGTTTTATTTCCAAACCATCAAGACAACCGGTTATAATATAGTTTAGTGTACGCTATACAGTCCCGTACATTAATGGTCCTTCGAGCCGGATCGTTTTGATTAGTTTGTGATTGTTAAAATGCCTTTTGGCACAGCCGCACCGTGGTGACAGGGTGGCTATAGTGAAGAAGCCCCCTGCAAGAGATTCGCATAGCCCGTTGAGGTATAGCTCCAATAGAATTGCAAGTGAGCTACTTTTCGGGGACGAATCGCACCGCAAATATGTACGCACACGCCGACATCTCGTAAATCAGCACACGCTCGACTTCGCCTGTTTCAAATATGGAAGAACAGTCAAAGGAAGAAGAACTCCTCCAACTGCGTTTGGAGTTATTGAAGCTACAGCAGAAAGTATCTTCGTTGGAGGGACACATCCCAAACGAAGATCCACTGGGTAGCAAAACAAACGGTGGTACAAGTTCACCGGCGGGAGCTGCGCAAGAAAGCGAGAGTGACTTATCCAAACTGGCCTCCGCTATTATGGCAGCTATTCAACCAGCTGAAATGATGTGTCAGCATAACCTCGATCTTCCGAGATTCAACGGATCACACAGTGAGTGGTTAGCGTTTCAATCAGCATATAGGCAAACGGCAAGACATTTAAGTGACGTAGAAAATATGGCTCGTCTCAGAAGATGCCTTGTGGGTAAAGCGAAAGAAGCTGTGAGAAGTCTGCTTATATACCACACCAATCCGGAAGAAATTATGAAATTATTAGAGTCTCGTTTCGGTCGACCCGACGCAATAGCGATTACCGAATTAGAATCATTAAGAAATTTGCCAAAACCGGGTAACACGCCGAGAGATTTATGTATGTTTACAAGTAGATTTTGTAACATAGTATGTAGCTTGGAAGCTTTAGGGAAGATACATTATCTCTATAACCCAGAGATAACAATATCTACGATAGAAAAATTGTCATCGACGCTTCAGCATCGATTTTTTGCATATGCGGCACAGCAATCGAAACAAGAGGCAGATTTACTAAAGTTAAAGCGATTCTTGTGTATAGAAGCAGAGAACTGTGCACCCTTTGCGCGACCCGAATCAAACTTCGAGTCAGAAAAACCTCAAGCGAAGTTGCAACAAGTCTACGTGACCAAAGACCTGAGAGTGCGTAACAATTGTGTTATTTGTGACAAAAACGGACATACTGTGAATAAGTGTTTAGTTTTTAATGAGTTGACTGTAGATAAACGGTGGGCAAAAGCGAAAGAAAAGTGGTTATGTTTTAGGTGCTTGAAACTGAGATCAACAAATCATAAGTGCCCGACTATTCAGTGTGGCGTCGACGAGTGTCAACGGAGCCATCATGCGTTATTACACCTAAGTAACGAGAATAACGATATTAGAAATATAGAAACCGTCGTCGCAACGTCGCGGAAGCTTAATAACGATCTAAACGAAAAAGCTCAATATCTCCTCGAACAGCACATGCATCAAGAGGTAGATGGGATTTTCGAAACGACAAAGCAAAATCACAGTAACGCCAGCCATCCTGAAACTTGTAACATCGCTCATAAAAGTATGCAAGCGGTTGGAATACAGTCAGATCGTGTCTCACAACTTAAAACGAGATACGAACAAGAAATAAAAAATAGACACTTATACTAATAAGAATCTTGTTGAAGATGTCGCAATTGGTAACGTAAATAACAACGTAATCGTGGAACAAGCTACACCTGTCAAGGTTCGTTCAGGACACGCCGATACGTCAACAACTTATAAAGGCGTCTCTATAAACGATGATCAAGTGAAGCGTCCCAATTTCTGGCAACTGAAGCCAATGGTCATGAGTCCAATAAGAAGGCAATTAAATAGCATGGTTATTAAACGTACACACAAGAGTCAATCGGGAAAATTATAATACGCACTAAAGGAATAAACGTGTTTGGACAACGTGCAAAGGGGAAAAACAGAGTTTATATGATCGTAAAGAGGAAAAGACTGAAGCTGTTAGAATGTCTTTCCAGCAAACGACGTAGTTCCAATTGGAAACGAGAAGAAATGGTCCGTAAGTGGAAAGCGTACTCGAGTAAGGAAAGGATCCAGCAAAACTCTCGTGTGCAGGTACAATACCGGCGGGAGCCCCACGACACGGGAAAAGTAAAGATAGGTTTTGTGGACTTTACAAGCGACAATTGCCTTCCTTACAAGAAGTGGACATATGACATAGTCGCTGACACAATCCTAAGTCAAGAGGGTGATATTAAAGTAGCGGATCCAATAACTGAGAGCATCCCAGAACGGCCGGCTAGAAAACCAATTATTTTACCAACTAACGGAGCCATCCTTCACCATGGAGACGATGCGTCGTCGGTCAAAGACAACCGAGCGACGCACGGCGGGAGAATGTTCCGGACAGCTCGCGTTAGGTTTAAAGCATAGGAATATTATTGAGAACTAGCATATAAATAAATAAATAAATATTCTTTGACTTTAGGTAAAATATGTTAGATGTATAAGAACATGTGCATGGCGTCCTTTGTGTGTATAAAAACGTTAACAAAACTTTGGGTCATAAATTGTAATACTAGAAAGGCCACTTGTATTGTATCCACTTTGTAAAGGGATAGTTTATTGGTTACAGACGTATTGTCTTAAGCGTTAACAAATGTGAGAGATTGCCATGCCATTAGTTTAAGTAAGTTCTTTAAAATAATAAAGTGTTTGCTTTCCACGAACCCGACGCCCCGCTACGGCCCATTCCGCACTCAATACCTGCATCCCATTTCTCTCTTGTGACTGAAATGATGTTACCATAAAAGAGAGCTCTGGGAGCGGGTCAAACTAGTTCACTTCTAACATCGACACGGCACGCATCGCGAGTACTTTGCCCATAGACGCCGCTCCTCTCACGGTTCGCGTCGCAAGTACTTCGCATCGTATTGATAGATAGTTAACGCGGCCGTTTAGACTTTTCGTTTCCATACTTTGTGCGCACGATATAGGCGCGTAACAGTAGCGTGGCAATCGGATGTCGTGGCATAGCGACATATTCGTTAGCGGCAACGTACTGGTAGTTTTATTTCCAAACCATCAAGACAACCGGTTATAATATAGTTTAGTGTACGCTATACAGTCCCGTACAATATTAGTATTACCTATTGGAGAACGTTTGATAAATTCTGCTTAAACAAGTATGAACTTTAAATACATTTAGTTAAACGGTTTTATTTTTTGTGCACTGAAAACTACAAAAAAAAAAAAAAAAAGTAGCCCTTTCATTTGATACCCATATTGAGGGGGGTTAAGGAAAAATATGTAATCCTCCATTTTGTATCAGCGGCCATCTTGGATTTATAATGTTATTATATTGTATTTTCATCTAAATTAAATGTGTGTACCTAATTTCAGATCAATTTGACAACGGGAGGGTGCTTAAATTTAAATTTATAATTTTAACCCAAATAAATAAGCTCCGTACGGGTCAAACTAAATAGAACCGTTTAAAAAGCTTTATAATTTATTCAACATAAAAACTGTTACGTAAGTATTTTTCTTGATGGAAAAATTCATCTAAATTATCGTACGTCTACTCATGCAGCAAAAGTTTACCGTAGCAAAGTTTCTATAGAAATGCGTTCACACATTCAACTTGGTAAGTAATGTGTTCCTTACTTTCTCAAACACTTCATAAAGACGCATTTGCATAATTTTCTCTTACGCCACCGTAGCTGAAGATCCTTTAGACTTGTTGAAGAAATCTGGTATACGATGTATACTAGAGATATTTTCTGACTCCTTTGATCAATGGGTAAACGCGTTGTCATTCATTGCGTTCTTTGACTTGGACTTCGATTCCCGGTAAACGTTCGAACCCCAGCGGGTCCAACGCGCTTCATGTAAGGTAAAAACACAATTTTCGATCACACGCCAGCATCCACAGTGTTGAGTGCTGTTGCTTTAGCCAATTGAGCTACTGTGTCCTACACGTCATTGTTGAAATTTTGAACCTATTGACACATACACGTGTTCGTGACATGTTGGACTTCGTCTCGAAATCTGGATTATAGATATGGGTAAGAATATCGACAGTTCCGTCCGGGTCAAGGAGCAACGTACATAGATGAAAAAGTTTAATCGCGTTGCAGTTTTAGTTTGAGGATTTCGGAACATCCAAGGCCTCAAATAGGTCGATAGCATATCTTGTCAAGATATTTATGGACGGGGTATTTTCATAAAGAAAATCCTGTCCTCTCTGACCATGTGTTTGGTATATGGTACCAACTACTACTACTGCTACTGCAAAACATCTGAAACGTCGGGCTGTAGTTAAAATAATTTTTAAATAACTTTAACTAATATATATCGCGTCAAAAACCGTTAAAGTACCCGTTTTTTTTTTTATAAAAAAACACATCCGTGTGTATATTTTTATAAAAAAAATATTAAAAGTAAAACGGAAAAAGAATGATTTTAACGATATTTTTATAATAATTAAATCTGATTATTATATACACATATTAATCAGTATATATAATACACAGATGGGCATTTATACCAAAAAGAACTTGTAGATAAGGAAATTCATAGTAACCAACATATCTGGTTGAACTAACAGAGGGAAGTTAGTGCAACTATCTGCTCGGCTAGTGTTTGACCCAACTTTAGTGATGTACTAACTTGAACTATCTACATTAATAACTAAATTGTTAGACTGCGGTGGATGGGAAACGGAACACCAGCTCAAATTTCAAACTAAGTTATTTTTAATCAATTTTGTTTACATTGGTGTGTGGAGTTCTGGGTCCTTCATATAATTAGCTTTTCTATAACTATTTCTTTAATAGATAACTATATCGTCATGATATTTTCTGGATACTGGTGGTGGTTATCACGAGGTTACAGGTTTGACTCCAGCGTCGGGCAAACGTTTAGCAATTTAAATGTTTCATAAATTCAAGTAGGTATCACATTATAATCTATGCATTAAAGTGAAAACGTGTCATTATTCGTGATAATAATTGATGGGTAGTTTTTAAAATTCGCCAGCTCACACTGGAGCAGAATAGTAAGTTTTACGACTCTATGACAGATGCCACCTGTGCCCAGCAGTGGGATATCAAAAGTTTGACACGAATATTCATTGCAACATTGCAATCAACGATGGTAATTAAAAAATGAAATAAAACAAAAAAATAAATCTCATTAAAACTTATAATAAAGAACAACATTTATAAAAGTAAAAAACCCGTAACAATTAACTGTACACACCAACACTCGTAGTGAAAAACTTACGAAGCTCTCATTGCATTTAGATTTTTCATGGGTGGATACCTATTTATTATCTATACTATCACAGTTTAGTGCTTGCCATGATGGAAGCCCCACTCTTTATGGTCATGGTGACCACCCTTCTTGCCATGGTCGTGGTGACCGTGGTGATGCTCCTCGTGACCATGGTGGCCCTTGTGACCGTGATGGTCCTCATCGTAATGATGTTTGTCATGATGACCATGCTTGCCATGATGATGTTCGTGATGACCGCTGTCATGGTGTCCACCCTTTTTGTGGTGTCCGCCGTGTTCATCATGGTGCCCGTGGTGTTTCCCGTGCTTGTGATGCTTGCCTTCGTGGTGGTGGTCATCGTAGAAGTGATGATCCTTGTGGTAGCTGTCCTTATGGTACTTCTTGTGGTAACCCTCTGTTTCCTCTCCCTTGTCGTGGTGTTTCTTGTGGCCGTGTTTACCACCCTTGTGATGATGACCGTGCTCATGGTGATGGCCGTGATGATCGTGCTCATCCCAGTGCTTTTTGTGGCCGCCGCCATGTTCGTGATGGTGCCCCTCGTGGTGGTGTTTTCCGTGATCACCGTGTTCGCCCTTGTGGTGGTGATGGTGTCCTTTGTGTCCCTTGTGCCCCTTCTCTCCGTGTTCGTGGTGATGATGGGCGTGGTGTTCCTTGCCACCACCTTCTTCGTGCTTGTGGGACTTTCCACTCGCGGCTGCCACTAAGTCCTTCTCCTCATCACCCAACTCTCGGGCGTAGACCGCCACGAGACAAAGCAGTCCTACAGCTATGATCAACTTCATCTTGATTGCTTGTGTCTCAAGTTGGACTGTGACGAGGCATTTATAGTCAAACAGTTAGATGAAGAAAACGTTTTGTAATGATAACGCAATATTCAGGGCCAGGCAAGGCAGCCACTGAACCGTGGCCGTAATGTTTTTCCATTTCATATACTTTATTAAGTTGGTTCATGTTGATTGTTTTCGAGAAGTTTCTGTTTGTTAATTAATATTGTTATATTTGAGATAGTAGAATTCGACTTTTGATAGACTAAATAATAATACATATTTGATAACAAAACTTTGCAGACTCCAAATTATCTTGAATTGAGAAATTTAAAAGTACAAATAAGAAATACGCGCAAGCAGTAGTTATAAATATTACAAATATATTTTTAGATTGCAATAATTTGGCGACACAGGCGGGACTAGAACCAGAATTGAGAGCGTGCTGTGTTGCTGCTCTAAACAATTTAGGTACATATTTTTCAACCTTAAAAAAAGTATAATGCTATCATGTGCATATTATTATCATTTTCATAACAGTGGATTTGAGCTCATTAGTGTGACTTTTACTTTTGAATTAGACGTTTTTTGCTAAGTTTCCGCTTTATTCATTTATGGAACAATATTCTCCATTTACTTAGTTATTAGGAAATAAAACGAACGAAGATTTTTGCGGTTTCATTCCGTTTTCAAAACGGAAACAGTTATATACCTTAAGTAGTGGTATAATAGGACATATTTAAATAAAACCCTGTCGGGTCGTATTTGAAATAAATTAAGTAATTTACTTATTCCTCGTTTTAAACGATTGAGTGTTGCCTTTGAAAAAATAACAAAACTTACACTTTTGATTACCTTCGTTCGATAAAGGCCTAAATCAAGCTCTTTAGTGAAATTAATTACAGAATAAAATTGTTAAATATTAAAGTCACAGATTTTTATTTATTTAGTTTTTAATTTATTAAATTGTATTAGAATTGTAATTTTTATTTTAAATAAAGAAAATAAAATAAAAATAAATCAAGAAAAGCAGTTTTCGACTTCGTATATAAATTATGGAAGTAAATAAAAAGAAACTCAATATAGCTAGCGATCCGTGCAATTTTTAGAAGATTCCCAAAATTTCTCTGGTCTGTTATTATCACATCCTTATTTACTTGGACCGCCTAAGATATATTTATTATTAACCAAAAAATATATATTTAATGAAGAATCTTCAAAAACGGTTCATAAACGACGCAGTTATGCGCGAACAGATATAAAAGCTTATTCGTATACTATTCTAATGAGGAAGGACTAGAATAAACTTTGTTAAAATTTGTTATATAAGGAATATTTTTATTAAGAAAACAAAAGCAAAGTTTTCAACTTTAGTAATAAACACTGCGACAAAAATTATGACATTCAATACCCGTATTCCGTGCAAATTCTCACAATAAAAGTAAGAATAATTAAGTTTAAAGTGACATACTCCATAATCTTGAAAATAATTAAACATTTTTAAACCACTTGCATTCATTTATTTTTGTTATATTATTAAAAATGAATAATTATTTTATAGTAGCCTGGTTGATTGAGATGATAATGGCTGAAATATAAAGCTTAGCTTTTTATATATTAAAAAAATAACTATTCAGAATAAGGCTGTCAAAAGTTAGTACTTGGAATAACAGAGCCCATCCTGTTAAAACTTTATATACTTTTTGAAAGGACTTTAGTAAAATACTTATTTCCTTACAACATTAAAAGTTTATCACGTGTATAGCGTTAAACACAAGAACATTAAATAGAACACTTCTAACGGTTTAAAACGTGAAATAATAAATAACTACTTTCAAGTAATTAAAGATTACACTTCTCGTCTTAAACTCGTAATCGTAATCTAATAATACGTTTACTAAAAAATTCGTCATGATTTAATTCAAGCTAGGCTGAAAGAGGGGATGAGGGCCCGATTCATTCTTAGGCCCTAAGATTAGGCAGATCGGGGCCCTTGTCAACCTAGCTACGCTACTGTATAGGCGATCAAAGCCTTCGCATTAAAATGTCTTGAACACACTACAATAAATCCTTAGATTACAAACGATCCTACCTTACACGTCAATGTAAAGGGAAGGACATCTAAATTCAATTCGCCCACTTCCATTATACATGACGGCCAATCGAAGGGTGTGTCAGTGTGTAAATGGCTGTGTGTCAAAGATCAGGTCTGATTTGTCGGGACTTATCTCCCACGAAATCGCTTGTAACTTGAGGTGAGTTTCCTTACAGTATTTATACCTATTTTTAATGCGATTTCCAATTATTTTTCAATATTATTTATACAATATATTTTACGTTTTAAACCGTTAAAGTGTTACAAATTACACAGTTATGAAAATAATTAGTTCTTTACTATGTCCAAAGTCAAAAATAGATTGACAGCGAATTTTGCTTTGATATGCTTGGGCTAATTTTTTTCACCAAATGCACGTCATGCTTATCTATCGTTCTCTGTCATAAAGGTATTGGTAATGAGACAGTCTTGGGTTCAACCATGTCTATGTTGTTTTCTCTACCTACCCTCTCTTTATAAATGTCTAGCACGCTCTTGCAAACACGTCATTATCGCAAAGTTCGGTTAAGTACAACGTGTATAATTCTAATTAAAAAAGAAAGAAAAAAATATTGCTGTTTTCTCCTATTGCCTTTTCAACGACTTTGACGTATTTGACCTTTATAATTATTATATAGTGCAGTATAATGAAATCAAAGTTTTAAGAGCTGGACTTAAATCCGACAGAAGCTCCCATAAAAATCTATAACAATACGCCCAAACTATCATTTTCAATACTTTTAAACCGACCGAAATACTCAACAATAAGGACCACGCCAAATATTTTAGGAAAAGCAAACGGACTGAACAAATCCTTATATCATTTTCAATGGTTTTCACGAGCACGTACGAGCACAAAGCGTTTTTAAGTGCAATAAGTAGATTTTCTTTTAACCCGTGATAGTGTTTTGTTTATATTCAACATAATAAAACTTAGTTTTGTACCTAGGGCCATCGATAGAAAACATCACAGATAATAATAAGTTAAAACATGTGTGTCAGTTTTTTTTTCCTAAATTTCGAGTCATATATAGAATCGTTGTTTACATACAATTGATATTGCAAACTGTATCGTAGTTTTAAGATGAGCCAGCATATACGATAAAAGAAACACGTTATATCTAGCAAGTAGTTGTATAGTTGCAAATAGTGAGAATACGTTATAAACTATAGTATTCCTACTGTAAAATAGTGATACTTCACTAATTGAGCACATCATTTAAATAAGATAAAATACAGTCAAACGCAATAAATTTAAAATGTACTATAACTCACCCATTCACACTAGCTTATCCTTCTGGTCTTTACCATTTTTACTCATATATGTATATATTTGCAAGATATTTTTCATTTTATAGCTTTGTATATTGTTATTTCTAATACTTAACTTAATTTAATAAAATATTTAATTTTAGGCTTTTGTATCCGGTATTTTATTTATGAGTATTGACAAGTTTTGTATTTACGTTTTTAACTGTAAATAGTTCGAAAATTTAAGCAGAATTTATGTTTTACATCGAATTTTGACTTAAAAATGACAAAATAAATCTTAAGCAAATACATATATAACTTAAAAATAAAATTGTATAATGAAGCGAGATTTTTGTCTATCAATAAATTGGGCTTGATGGATGGCTCTTGAAAAAAGAATAATTGCTTCAATGTTAAACGATATCGCTACGCAAAATTACTGTTTTGTCGAATATGCTGAGCATGGGAATAAATTTAAAACGTCCACCAACTTTCTGCCACGTTTGTTTGAGCACGACTTTTTTGAACGATGCCCGAAACGTGTTTCTTACAGCTGGTATACTTCTGAAATATGTTAGATTCGATATTGATAATAAATCTTTAAGATATACGTTTAAACTTTAAGTTTTAACAATACACTGAAATAATGGGCACAAAATTTTTTTAATGTGATCGAAAACGTGCGTGTAGAGTACACAGCACTTTTTCAATTCAGCTACCGATGTTGAGTGGATGCAAGTCGTGTACTGTAGATTGAAATAATATACTTTTAACGCTGATAAAGCCCGACGTACATTAGTTAATTTATTTTAACTTCGGTCCGACGTTTTGGATAGGAGGCATTCGCCACGTGACCAAGGCTATTGAAAAGCATTCAAAACGTCGGGCCGTAGTTAAATTCTATTAAAAATAAATTAAATAATTTATCTCGGGTTTCAAACGTTGCGTTTTAGAGTTTCAATCTATTGTAGCATATACCTATGTTATATGCGAAAACATACGAAAATAATAAAATTTCAATTCAAATTTAATTTAAGTTACTTCTAGGTATAAACAGCATTCTATAAAAAGTCCTTGGTCTTTCAAATGTCTTCAGCCTCAACTCACAGCGGTCATAAGCGACACATAAATTATCCACGCAAAATTGAACACAGCACTTGGAGGTAAAATAAAATATAAATAAAAGAAAAGTTAATACAAAAAGTTGGGCTGTATTTTCTTGATAGTCGAACCCCTTTCTTCCACGCCATAAAACTTTTATCGGAGGTGACGTCCCTAAAGCATAGTTTTCGAGACATTTGGGGATGATAAACTTTTAAAGTTCTCGAATGAGTGAACCGGGTAGGCGTCAATTCTGTCCCCAATCCAGACGATTTTCTTTCGATTATGTGCTACATGCAGGGCTGACAGAGCACTTATACAAGAAATACAAATTAATTAAATAAAAAAAAACAGAAATTAACAATGATATCATATGTCACAATAAACAAAACAAAAACTATAAGAATCAGGGAGATATGTAATTTGAACTTTCAATTCAGACATTTACAGGTCCAGGTTTTAATAAATGAGAACAATTCAATGTCTTAAATATGGTATAATTTATATTTAGTAACTTCGGTATAAGAAAAATGTTGTAAAATTATGTATTGGTCTACCATAAATTTATAGT